CTTTGCTAAGTTTTTGTTTAATGAACTCTTCATAGAGCATTAAAATAAGTTGTAAAGTCCCACACAAGCAGGCAGAATAAGTTATTCTAATCTTATCCTGATGCATGCTCAATAATCCAGGTAGAAAAATCCAAAAAAGTTCAATCTGGTCCTCTGGACATTCAAAAAACAAAAAACAAAACAAAGCAAAAAAATATATAGAAACTTTTCGTCTCTCATCCGAAAGACTTCCTCAGTCTGAGGTGCTGTATTCAGCTCAGTCTCTTAAATAGCACCTTCTCAGTGGATCAACCAGTATGCTGCTGACAACCAAAACCCGCTGCTCACATGGTCAAGAAGGACCATCAGCCTAACAATGGATCATTAGCACCTGATGGCTGTTTACTATTCACCGGGGGTTGAATGATACTAGCAATAACAGCATTGCAAGAGGGGGACAGTTGAACACGGAGGCTTCCACCCCTGTTTAATGATGGACAATTTCTTTTCACAAAGATGGCCTCCTTTACTATTCTCTCAAACCATCATTCCTCTCTGTCCAGGATGTGAACATATTCATCCTTGAAAGAGTGACCGCTGGCCTGGAGATGAGTGTAGACCACAGAATCCTGGCCTGATGATATTGATCTTCTGTGCTGGGCCATCCTTTTGGCCAGTGGCTGATTAGTTTACCCGATGTAAGACTGATCACAGCCCTCCTGACACTGAACAGCATACACAACATTACTCTGTTTGTGACGAGGGACTGGATCTTTGGGATGAACCAGTCTTTGCCGTAATGTATTTTGGGGTTTAAAAGCCACTGGGACGTTATGTTTAGAAAATAAACGTCTCAGTTTCTCTGATACTCCCTCAACATATGGAATGACCACTGGTCTGGGTCTGGGTTCCTCCTTTTCACCTGATGGCTGACTGGAGTCCTGTTTGGGTTTCTTCTCTGCTTTCAGGAAGGCCCAGTTAGGATATCCACATTGCTGTAGAGCCTTTCTTGTGTAGGATTTCTCCTTCTGCCTGGCTCCTGAGTTTGTATCACAGAGCTGACAGCATCCCAACTGAGTCCTGATGACTCCTAACTTGTGCTCCAAAGGGTGATGGGAGTCAAACTCAAAGTCAAGGGAGTCAAAGGGAGTCAAAGAAGAAGTTAATAGATTGCCTGAAAAATTTGGAGTAGGACAAGGCTATTGACCATATTCTGTACCACAGACTGTACCCAGGGGAGGCCACGCCTAGTCTGTATGGTTTACCTAAAACCCACAAACAAGGTGTACCTTTAAGACCAATTGTTAGCATGATTAACTCAGTCAATGTTCCCAAATATCTGGCGTCTGTACTCATCCCTTTAGTTGGCAGCTCAGAACTCCACATACAGGACACCATGGACTTTGTGGATAAGGTGAGGGATGTCATCATGGAGACTGGGGAAAAATGGTCTCTTTTGATGTCACATCAATCTTTATGTGCATTCCTGTTGATGATGCAGTAGAGGTGGTCAGATTAAGATTAAAATCAGACACCACTCTGAGCAGCAGGACCATGCTTTCCACAGAACAACTGTGTCAACTCTTGAAACTGTGCCTGCAGTCAACCTACTTCACATATGGGGAGCAATATTATAGGCAGAAACATGGGTGTGCTATGGGGTCTCCAGTTTCTCCTATTGTTGCCAACCTGTACATAGAAGAGGTAGAAAAAAGAGCCTTGATGTCCTTTTCAGGGACAACACCAAGTCATTGGTTCAGGTATGTTGACGACACCTGGGTTAAAATTAAATCTCAGGAAGTCCAACATTTTACTGACCACATCAACTCTGTGGATAAATACATCAAGTCCACACGAGAAGATGAGAAAAATGTCAGGTTGGATTTCTTGGACTGTGAGGTCTCAGTCTCTGATAGAGGACATTTGCAAACCAATGTTCCGCAAACCCACCCACACAGACCGGTATTTGCAGTTTGACTCCCATCACCCTTTGGAGCACAAGTTAGGAGTCATCAGGACTCTGTATCACAAAGCAGACAACATCCCCACTAGCTCAGGAGCCAGGCAGAAGGAGAAATCCCACACAAGACAGGCTCTAGAGCAATGTGGATATCCTAACTGGGCCTTCCTGAAAGCAGAGAAGAAACCCAAACAGGACTCCAGTCAGTCATCAGGTGAAAAGGAGGAACCCAGACCCAGACCAGTGGTCATTCCATATGTTGAGGGAGTATCAGAGAAACTGAGACGTTTATTTTCTAAACATAACGTACCAGTGGCTTTTAAACCCCAAAAAACATTACGGCAAAGACTGGTTCATCCCAAAGATCCAGTCCCCCGGCACAAACAGAGTAATATTGTGTATGCTGTTCAGTGTCAGGAGGGTTGTGATCAGTCTTACATCGGGGAAACTAAACAGCCACTGGGCAAAAGGATGGCCCAGCACAGAAGATCAACATCATCAGGCCAGGATTCTGCGGTCTACACTCATCTCCAGGCCAGCGGTCATTCTTTCAGGGATGAAGATGTTCACATCCTGGACAGAGAGGAACAGTGGTTTGAGAGAGAAGTAAAGGAGGCCATCTTTGTGAAAAGAAATCGTCCATCATTAAACAGGGGCGGAGGCCTCCAGGTCCAACTGTCCCCCTCTTACACTGCTGTTATTGCTAGTATCATTCAGCCCTCTGTGAATAGTAAACAGCCATCAGTGTGCTAATTCAGAATCAGAATCAGTTTATTATTGCCATGACAATGAACGAGGTTCACAAACTAGGAATTTGCTTCGACATAAGGTGCGAATAGTAATAAAGTAAAATAAAATAAAAATAAAGTAAAAATGAAGTAAAAATGAGAACATTACATAAGACATAAGACCTGTGTGCACCCACACATAAAGTAAAATTAAAAACATAACATAACCATATGTACACCCATACAATAGAAAACAATAAAAAAGCTTAGAAAACAGTACAGATGGAGTATTCAATTATAATACAGATGTAATGTGACCAAAGCAGAAATTATGAGGTAGCATAATGATCCATTGTTAGGCTGATGGTCCTTCTTGAGCATGTGATCAGCTGGTTTTTGTTGTCAGCAACATACTGGTTTATCCACTCTGAGAAGGTGCTATTTAAGAGACTGAGCTGAATACAGCACCTCAGACTAAGGAAGTCTCTCGGATGAGAGACGAAACGTTTCTACATTTTTTTTCATTTGTTTTTTTTGTTTGTTTTGTTTTTTTGAATGTCCAGAGGACCAGATTGAACTTTATT